AAATCCACTTAGAATAGTTTTTTCGTGATCCGAATAATATTCCGCAACATAAATTGAAGTTGTAAAATAATCTTGGCAAGTAAGAAATGGTAAACACACTGCCAAATGCTGTTCTGTTTTATGAAAGTGAGCTCTGCAAGTGTGTAGACTAAGAGAAATTTTGCCTCCTGTTTTCATAAGTGTTATTACATTGTAGGTACAAAACAATAATGAAAAATTTTAATCCATGGTTTCCTTTGTGTTTTGTAAACAGTAAGTGAATGTATTGTTTTAAAATGCCAAGGAAAGCTTCAATATTTTTTTTTAATCAGCAAAGGTTTTATTTTATGTATGGCTACTGAATTAGTTCAAGATTTATTAATCCAACCTTATTCTGGTTTAAAGCAAAAGCAGTACATTCACTTATTTATTAGAATTCAGCATTCTAAAATGACAAGTTTTATTGTCATTTTAGAGTTTTCAAGGGGGAATCTAACCTCAGCAGTTGAGTTTATGCTTTTCAGTGATTTACTTTCCATGTTGAGTCTGTCTTTTGGTTTCTTATGGCATGACTAATTTTAAAACACAGGATCATGTTTTAAGAAAATGCCCAAGATTCAGTCAATGGCGCATACATAGAAAGGTTCTTTTTTAGTGAGCCAAGAACCAATTATTGGGGAATACTGTGCGATTATCTAATATAAACGCCGTCATAAAGTGTCATTCAGCTGTGCTGTAGCTTTGTTGGCATCAGTATTAGCCCAGACTTTTGTGTCTCTCTGTGCTAAGCCCTGTGAGATCTGTTAACATTATGTTCTTGCTTTAGTCCCATACTTACTCTTTTCAACATGCGAAGAGTAATGTTTTTGCGTTTGGACAACATTATGTTTCTCTCTTCTATTTTTCCCTCCAAGGACCTTGGAATCCACTTAAGTAGGCTGGCTTATGTTCTACAGACAAATTACCAGCTTTATTCTGCTGTTATTCAACAGTACTGAAGAGCACATTTTAACTCTCTCCCTTTCTGAGTCGCCTTCATTTTACTGTTTGCCTCATGTTTTCTTTGNGTCTCTACTTTAAAGAAGTAGTTCAAGTCTCTTAACGTGAACAAGTTAGATTTTGGGTACTGAGAGAGCTCGCATGAGATTCTTGAACCACTCTTATTTACTGTGAAGAATTGTGTGACTAGCAGGAAAGATGCCCCAGAACCAAAGATGGAAAACAACCTAATTTTCAGAAAGGGGAAAAACTATATTCTGGTACACGTGGTGTAGTTATTGACCAGAATTCCTGACTAAGTAATTAAAAGGATGATTTGTGAAATTAAAGGCAGTATTGTATCCTGAGTAAATTCTAGAAAAAAGAGTCGTGGCCATTCTCATTTTCATTAAAAAACAATTTTTGTTGGAAAAAAAAAGAAATCTACCTTGCATAGATTATAAAATGTCATTTTTTGTTAATTTTATATTGGTATATCACCCTTTTTTCAGTCCTTTTATTTATATCTTTTATATTTTCTTGGTGTTTTTTTTAGACTCTTGAATTTATGGAAACTTTTGTATTTGCTATTAAACTCCAAACTCTACAAACGGTAAGGCTTGTATTTAAGATTCAAACCCAGACTCCCAGGAAGAAGACCATTGGAGAATGCTCACTGTCACTCAGAACTCTTAGCACACAGGAAATGGATTACTCTTTGGATATAACACCACCTTCAAAAATTTCTGTAAGTGACAGCAGTATGTAATGTTAAAAATCAATTACACTTTTAGAATTATTTACTTGGGTGAGTTTGTGTTTGTTGGAGTGTGACTTCAACACTAGACTATATCAGAGGATCAAGAAGACGCTCAAGAAGCAATAATAATAGTATTAATAATGTCATTGTTTAATATTTTAAAAATAATTGATAAAAGGTTAACAGAGCCCCTTTCGCTGTTGGAAAATGACTTAGGGTTACCGTCTCGTACATTTTTGTTAATGTTTCATACTTCAGGAGAAAATAACCTTGAAGTATGAGTAATTTTAAATTATTAATTATTTTTTTTAGTTTTCTTAGTAGCTGGTAACTTATGAAAAGTAGGAAATAATCATAAACTCCAAACTCAATCAGA